GGAATGCTCTACCTGACTCTGTTGTTACTTCCCCAAACCCCCCAAACTTTAACCTTAAACTGTCCACCGTGGACCTCACCCCATTCCTAAGAGGTCCGTAAAGGGGGGCGTGCATAAGTGCACCAGAGTGCCTACCGTCCCTGTCCTACTGTCCCCATTTATTTGTATTCATTTCCTTCCTTCATGTCCATGTTCATATTCATACCTTCTATCTTGTACATGTTTGACAAACTAAGAAAGAAAGAAAGAAAGAAAGAAAGGAAGGAAGGAAGGAAGGAAGGAAGGAAGGAAGGAAGGAAGGAAAGAAAGAAAGGAAGGAAGGAAGGAAGGAAGGAAGGAAGGAAGGAAGGAAGGAAGGAAGGAAGGAAGGAAGGGCCTGGTGGCTCAGCAGACTAAAAGCATTGTGATTAACACCAGCTGTCTGCAATTACTGTAAGTTCAAATCTCACCAGGCTCAAGGTTGACTCAGCCTTCCATCCTTTCTAAGGTAGGTAAAATGAGGACCCAGTTTGTGGGGGCAATAAGCTGACTTTGTATAAATATACAAAAGTATGAAGGCTATTGCTTAACGCATTGTAAGCCGCCCTGAGTCTCCGGAGAAGGGCGGCATATAAATCAAATCAAATCAAATCAAATAATAAATAAATAAATAAATAAATAAATAAATAAATAAATAAATAAATCCCCCTCCACCCCATCGGCACACCAGATCCTCCGGGGACCATGGCTTACCTATTCAGAAGTTGGGGACGAGCTCCATGGGGAAGCCCATGCCTGGCTGCCAACTCCCTATGTCTCCAAACCACCCCAGAGAGTGGAGAAGAAATGGGGAAGGGAGAAGTGACAGAAAGGGCAGGGCAGGGAGGGCCCAAAGACGTTAAGCTCGCTGCCTTCAGGCTGTGACCCCCTTGGAATCTGCAGGAGGTGGTGGCAGAGTGACAGCCAACCGTTCTCTCCGTGAATCGGGGCTTTGTCTAGGTGGAATTCCAGCAACTTCCAAGCCATTTTGACTCTGGAGGGGCGGGGGAGGGGGACAACAAGAGAGAACGTAGAACTGCTTATGGGCGAGGAAGGCTTAAATGTTACGGGTGAGGCTCTTTCAACTCCCCCAAGCATGGACGTGTGACAGTCACGCTTGACTTTTCATTACTCAGGCAAAAGGAAGCTCCGTCAACCGGGGTTGGAATGGCCTTTGGGATGAGGTCTTCCAGGCACGGGGAGGAGAGGGGAGGGAGGGAGGGAGAGGGTAGATGGGGCAGGGTCTCTGCTAGAAATGGGCTTGGAATGAAAAGCCCACATCACATTTTGCGCAGCCCTACAGAATTGGGAAAGGTCCTTCGGTAAGTTCGCGGTAGAAAGATGTCCTCTTCGACAACAAGGGTTGAGAGTGTCAGGCTCCAAGTAATGATGAACTGTGAAAACTCTGTCAAGCTGAATGCAACTCAGAATGTCCAAAGATACAAACAATCCCACGCCCCAATCAAATTCAGGCTTGACATGAGGGGTCTCAAAGTCTGCTGGAAGAAACGTTCAGCCACCTGGTCGTGGAGCCCATGCAGCGAAAGCTTTCAATGGCACAGTAGAAGAGCCACCGTCTATTTCAGTGGTGGGATTCAAATTTTGTTTACTACCGGTTCTGTGGGCGTGGCATGGCGGGCGGGGCTTGGTAGGCGTGGCAGGGGAAGGATCCTGTAAAATCTCCATTTCCTCCTGATCAGCAGGCAGAGAAGAGATGGGGGCGGGGCCAGTCAGAGGTGGTATTTACCGGTTCTCCGAACTACTCAAAATTTCCGCTACCGGTTCTCCAGAACTGGTCAGAACCTGCTGAAACCCACCTCTGGTCTATTCTCAGCCTTCCTTGTAGTTCCCCCAATATTCAAGGGAGCGATGGGATGAAATCAGGGAGTGAATTATTGAAGGCAGGAGCAAAAGGATGGGATTCGTCCATCTTTAGTAGCTATGCAAACCCGGGACCACTGCCCACTGGCTCTTGTACTGCAAAACTACTTTCCCAGCCTGCTCTTAAAGGCACGCGACCCCCACTCCCTTTGACCAGATTGTTGTCTAAGAACAAGACTCCGATTCCCATGCTGTTAAAACCCATCATAGAGGCAAGAGGGATCCTTTGGGGGGTGGGGGGTGTCTCCACACTTTGCTAACTTACATGGACTATCCCGTCTGGGGCTCCTGAAAATTGCACTTCTGCATTTCCATCGTCCCTTAAAATATTAACAGATTCCACAATGGTCTGAGAATGAGTGTCTCCACTAGATAATTGACAGTCAAGCTGAAACGAAGTTAATCGAATAAAATTAGCAAACATCCTCAAACAAACCTAATCCACATATCAAAGGATACGGTCTGCAAACACAGAGTTAATTAAACTAGGCCTCCCAGAGGAACTGCTTGTTCCCAAGAATAAACATACCTACAAATACACACACACACACACTCACACCCCTAGAATCAGCATGGAGATACTTCACCCTGAACAAACTCCCCCTATAAAACTTGCCTGCTGTACCCCGATTTCTCTGCAGCCTGCCCTTAAAGGCAAACTGTTTTGTTTTTAGGAATAAATAGAATCTCGTTTTTATTTATTCTTGCGCAGCCTTGGCTCAAGTTGGAACCCCAAATTTTCCTTTTGACACTGGCATCTGGAATTCTTAAGGAGTCTCTGTTTTCTCTTGGGAGAGCAGGAATTTGTGGCTGGCACCCAATCCTTAGCACCGAAGAAGGAAAACATGCATTGTTTTCACCCAGAGGATTCCATTCCCATCAACAAGGATCTCCCACAGATTTTTGCTTCAAAGGGCATTTCCTTGCTCCAACTCGCCTACAAGCACGGGATTAAAAATCCCTGCTCACTTCTGCTCCAGCTCTGCCTCTTTCTTCTTCCCTCAACCAGCCTGATGTGCTACTCAACACCTCTGTTTTATGGAATAGAATAGAATAACAGAGTTGGAAGGGACCTTGGAGGTCTTCTAGTCCAACCCCCTGCTAAGGCAGGAAACCCTACACCACTTCAGACAAATGGTTATCCAACTTCTTCTTTAAAACTTCCAGCGTTGGAGCATTCACAATTTCTGGAGGCAAGTTGTTCCACTGATTAATTGTTCTAACTTTCAGGAAACTTCTCCTTAGTTCTAAGGTGCTTCTCTCCTTGATTAGTTTCCACCTATTGCTTCTTGTCCTGCCTTCAGGTGCTTTGGAAAATAGCTTGACTCCCTCTTCTTTGTGGGAGCCCCTGAGATATTGCAACACTGCTATCATGTCACCCCTACTCCTTCTTTTCACCAAACTAAACATGTCCAGTTCCTGCAACTGTTCTCTATATGTTTTAGCCTCCGGTCCCCTAATCATCTTCGTTGCTCTTCTCTGCACTCTTTCTAGAATCTCAACATCTTTTTTACATTGTGACGACCAAAACTGGATGTAGTTTTGCTCGCTTTTGCTCCATTCTGAGGGCTAAACCTCTCTCTGTTGATGATCTTCTACAAAACCATCATGAATGGTATTGAGAAACTTCTCCAAGTCTTGCATTTTTCAAATATCTCAGAAAGTATTTGCCAGCCACCCTGGTCATGGAGTAAGGCTGGAGTAGAAAAGAGAAGACCAGTTAGAGCAGGAAAGGCGCCACTTTGACGTAGTGGTTAAGGCACCGAACTAGAAAGCAGAGACTATGAGTTCAAGTCTCGCCATAGCCATGAAAGTCATCTGGGTGACCCTTAGGCCAATTACCAGGATGTAGTGAGTTCTAATCCCGCTTTAGGCATGAAGGGTGACTTTGGACTAATCACCAGGTGACTGTGAGTTCTAGTCCCACTGTTATGTATTATAAGAAGTTTTATGACCATATAAGGAGTGAGTGAGGTTTCACTCAGGTCCGCCAAAACGGCGGGAAAATACTTGAAGCTCATTGGTTCAGCTGTCTGGCAGCCCTCTATAAAAGAGGACACTGCCAGACAAGCAGGTTGTTGGGTTGCACTGTTCTACTAATAAAGAGTTGTTGTCACTAAAGAGCTGTGTCCGTCTCTTCCATCATCGAATCTAACACCCACCTTAGCCATGAAAGCCAGCTGGATGAGTTTGGGCCTGCCCCTCTCTTTCAGCCCAACCTACCTGACAGGAGGTGGTGGTTGTGTGGAAAAATAGGAGAAGGAAGGTGTGCTGCACGATTATTTGTAAAAATAATAAAGGCAGAGTACAAATAAACAAACTGGGCCGTTTGTGGTTCTCAAAATGAGATAGATGGAAACGGAGGCAGAATCGTCCTTAAAATGTTATTGTAGGGAAATGCCACCTTGAATCAGAATCCTTTTTCCTTTTCCCTCTGATTTCGTTTAGGTGGATAAAGAAATGAGGAGAGAGACTTAGGGGAGGGAAAAAAAACCCCACAAGAATATAATGCTATTTAGAAGTCGTTGTGCGATGTGCAGGGACTCGAAACAATGAAAAAAAGGAAATGAAATTCCAGGGTGGTGCCCATATTACGAGCCTCGTTCCATGACTGCAAGTTAGGGATCATTTTCTTTATGAAATCCATGAAGGTGAGGTGCTAAACCACAGAGTAATCCCTTACACAGGTAAGGCAGCCGTTAGGTGGAGCATAAAGGTCCACCTAAATGATGTGGTGTCTCAGTAGGGACATGGTGGCTCAGTGGCTAAGACGCTGAGCTTGTCGATCGAAAGGTCGGCAGTTCAGTGGTTCGAATCCCTAGTGCCACATAACGGGGTGAGCTCCCATTACTTGTCCCAGCTTCTGCTAGCAGTTCGAAAGCACGTAAAAAAAAATGCAAGTAGAAAAATAGGGACCACCTTTGGTGGGAAGGTAACAGCGTTCCGTGCGCCTTTGGCGTTGAGTCATGCCAGCCACATGGCCACAGAGACGTCTTCGGACAAAGCTGGCTCTTCGGCTTTGAAACAGAGATGAGCACTGCCCCCTAGAGTCGGGAACGATTAGTGCGAGGGGAACCTTTACCTTTACCTAAAGGTCTTACCTGAGACTGAGGGTAGGAGGTGCTGTTGCGACGGGACGCCCCGGCGTTGTGCCATTCACGACATCTGGGGAGGGTGAATGAGCATCCCTGCATGACCATGGGCTGCATTAGAACGGATGCTCATGAGGACCAAGCCCGGGCTGAGCAGTGGCAACTGGAAGGAAGATGGAGGACAGAAGTGTTATTCCATCTTTCCATAGGATTTACAGCAGCATCTCAACCTTTGGCCATTTTAAGATGTATATGGACTTCCAACTCCCAGAATTCCCCAGCCCCCAGTCAGAAGTCCCAAGATGCATTTATTTATTTGTTCAATTTATAGGCAACCCACCTCACAATCAAGCTTCCAATATCAAAAGTAGCAAAGGCTAAAAAAAACATTTAGGGATTAAAAGTTAAAAACAAAATTCACATTGCAAAGAACGTAGAATAACAAAGTTGGAAGGGACTTTAGAGGTCTTCCAGTTGAAGCCCCTGCTTCAAGCAGGAGACCCTAGACCTTTCCAGACAAATGGCTGTCCAGTCTCTGTCCAGGGATGGATGTCGATGGAGATCCTCAGTCATCCAGATCATGGTTGTCCCGAACGTGCTTTTTTAAGAGGCAACTGGACTTTCTAGTTTTTCTTTGAAGACATTCCGCTTCTCACCCAAGAAGCTTCTTCAGCTGTCTGCAAGGAGTATAAATCCTTCCATTCCCCCACCATCCAGTCAGAGCTGAAGAAGCATCTTGGATGAGAAGCAAAATGTCTTCAAAGAAAAAGCAGAAAAGTCCAGTTGCCTCTTGAAAAAAGCACCTTTGGGACTCCAGTGATGGAGCACCCACAACTTCTGGAGGCAAGCCGTTCCACTAGTTAATTTTTCTCACTGACAGGAAATTTACCCTGGAAAAGGAGAATGTGGAGATTAAGGGTCAGTGCGTAGATGCGGTAGAGGCGGGATCTTCTCATCTATTAGCCACCTCCAGAATGGGACACCCCTATGGGGCCCGAAGCCAATTGGCAGAGCCAGGTTTTACTTACAGATAGATACAGATTAACAGAGATGGAAGGGACCTTGGAGATCATCTAGTCCAACCCCCTACCCAAGCAGGAGACAAATGGCAGTCCAGTCTCTCCTTGAAAGCTTCCAGTGATGAAGCTCCCACAACTTCTGTGGGCAAACTTTATTGAGTTTATTTATTTTTTTATATATTATTGACTTAGTTCATGAAAACGTTTCCTCAACTTGGCAAAACCTGAACCCCTCTGAGCTAGACTTCCAAAGCATATTGTAAGGTCCCAAAATGTACTTGGGTCACCAGAATGCCAAAGAGAGAGACCCAAGAAGAGGCTTGGAAAAAAATATCAGCTTTTATTTGTACAAAAAAGAGCTGGGTTGACCATACCACTATATATAAAGAGCATGCAGTGAAAGGCCACACCTTGGGGAAGGTATGGCATCCTTTTATACCTTCAGAGACATCATTTTAGTACCCAATTCTGGTCTCCCTGGCCCATGCCTTCCTTTGGCAACGCAGCAAGGAACAGGGGGGTTGAGTGCTTAGTAACAGAGGGGCTGGGTGCTTAGCAACACAGGTATTTGCCCGATGTAACCCTCCCAAGCCATGACATACCCTGCTTCTTGAGATTTCCACCAGGCACGGAGTTGTACAAAAAAACAAGATATCAGAAGTTAGATCACTGGTAGAAGCAAATGGCAGAGGCAATTCCAATTCTTAGCAAAGTAATTCTTATAGAAGCAAAACGGCAAGTCAAGCCAATTCTACTGACTCTACTATTATGTCCCACTAATTCTACCTATTCTATTATCATTATTATGTCCCTTTATTATTTTTTGGTAAGAAAGCTATCTCGTGTGCTTGCTGTTGGGAAACTTCCCCTCAGATACTACAAAGGCCAAATCGCTTGCTCGCCCTTGGGAAGGGAATTGCTTAGAACGGGCACATCCTGGGAGAAGAATCTCTCTGGGGTCCCCCCTCTCCACCCCACTTTTTCGAACCAGATGAAACCGACGGCTCGTGGGAGACCAAAGACTAGAAAGCCACTGGACGAAGAAGGAGAAACGAATGGAAAAGTTTTGAAATTCTGAAAGATTCTAGGAAGCGACATCAAATCAAGCAGACCAAACCTTTGAGTGCCTCTCCCTGGTGATCGGATGTAGAGCAACATTGTGCATTTGTGTGTGTGTCTATGTGTGAATGTGGGTTGTAAGTACACGCTTGAGTCAGTGTTGTCTCGTGGCAACTGAGACTACTTCCTGTAGTTTTCTGGGCAAGATTTTAGAAATCTTTTGTCACATTCTACTCTTATTTGCAGGTCTTTGTATTCTTTTTCTCTTTCTCAGTTCTTTCTCTTCTGCTGTCTCCATTTACTGCCACATCCACTATCCATATCTTTTAAATCTTTTTTATCAATAGTTGTTAAGTCTGGGGTGTTATTATCATGATTATTAATCCAACTATGTGCAGTATGCTGGCTAGAGTCTGCTTTGTGATCAAGACAGCATAAAAGGTGATTAAATGAGCAACTAACAGCCTCACGGAACAAAAGAATGAATTTCACTGCATTTTGCAACTTTGATGGCTCTGCTTGTAAAAACCAGGGTTCCAATTGCTAGTATTACTACTATTATTCTACTCAGGCTGGGAGCATCTCTTTTCCGGGTACCACAGCATGATCTGAGAGGCATTTGTATATAATAGATCTCTTTTCACTTTCAGCACTGTACTTTTCCAATTGTCAGTGCCACAGACAAAGATAAAATACAAGGCATTTTCTAGGCACCGTCAGGACTTCTGTGAGTTCCGGCTAAAAAAAAATCCCACTGAAGCTTTTTGCAGTAAAAGACTTCAATAGAATTTGTTTAGGGAGATTGTTCAAACTGTTGTTTTTGAAACATGGCTTTTCGTACTACAATCACAAGATGTAAAAAGTTTAGATCAAATCATGGTAACATGGAAAAGAAAAAGAACTAAATATTTAGCTTAACATGGCGATTAAAGGAACTAAACACAACAAAAACTAAATATATATAAAAATATTAATAGCTAGGTGAAATATATTTAATTCTTAAACATTAAATCTGAACTATACAGCTACACATTAAGTCATCTTTTTATTTTTTAATCATAAAGGCTTTAAAAAAACTTTTAAAAGATCTTTTAAAAAACTTTTAAAACATAACACACTTAAACCTTGGAACAGGGGCAGGTTTCAAAACCCGTCGCTACCGGTTCACTCGTGGGCGTGCGCATGCTTGCGTGTGCGCACTACACGCTGCACATGCACAGAGGTGGGTGGGCGGAGCGTCCTGCCACTGCCGGTTGGCCCAATCTGAGGCGAACTGGAAGCAATCCACCCACTGCCTTGGACCCATTCCTTAAAATCAGAAGACATAAAATGTCTTTCCACTTAAATAAAATTAGCGTCTTTGCTGTACCACAAACTCGATAAAGTTGAAGCAACCCATAAGATAATAAATCCAACATTTTATCCAGAACGTAATTAAATGTTATAGTGAGATCCTAAACATATTTTCTCCAAGATTATCTTAATATATAAATGTAAAAAAAAAATAGAACAAAGTTATAACAGAGCAAGACCAAATCATATGAGTTAAAGAACTATCGGATTCTTTGAAGTCACATTAGTGACAGAAAGTGCTATATGAGACTAGTTATTGTAATTGATTCCAACCTGCATCATAATTAAAACATAATTTTATCCCAAAGGATAGAAGAGTGATGTTTTAAAAAGGAAAGTTTAAAGAGAGATGACAAAGCAGGTCTGATTGATTTATAAATAAGAGATTCAGTTGAATCTGTAGCTAACAACTCAGGAGACCAGAAAAATGGAAGGACTCCATCTACCTATCATACCTTGAGTTCACTCAACTAGACCACCTGTAATAACCCGAATTTCCTCCTTTCGCTCAACCACCTTAGACCATGCAACTTACTACATGTGAATAACACACCAGGCTGAAATACGGTGGTGAGAATAATACCATGCCATCCAGAAATTCCAACACCAGTCTGTGTGAGCAGCCTTTTGCTAGCTAAAGAAATATTCTGGGCTTTTGCCCTAATACATCTACACTATTTTTATTGGATTCTTTAAAGTAAGATGTAGATTAATGCAGGGGTCCCCAACCTTTCGAACCTCAGGGACCACTAAATTCATAATTTTAAATCCCGGGGACCACTAATATGATCTACCTAATGACCAGCTGAGTGGGTGTGGCAAGGTGGTCATGTGACTGGGTGGGCGTGGCCAATTCAATGTCACTCACGTTGAGAGGCGCCTTGCCAGCCTCTACTCACTACTCCTCGCCTGCCTGCCCGGCCTCCTTAGGGTCCCAACAGGAAGCAGTTGCTGGAGCTAAGCAGCCACCACGAGAAAGAGTTGGCAAAAGAGCTCAATTCAAATTGGATCTGACCGAGGAGGCTCAGCAGAAGCACCTCACTGAGGACTAGGAGCATAGGCTTTCCAAGCAGAGGGAAGACCTGCGGGAGTGCATGGCCAGGTACTGGCCCTTGGAGGCTCAGTGGGCTGAGATGGTCAGCCAGTTCCAGGCTGTGATGTAGTCTCATTGGAACAAGGCCCTCCGGCTCTTCGCCACCACGGCGCTTCCCTCCAGCCTTTGCCCAAAGCCCTGCACCAGGAGGCTGAAGTAGACCCCAAGTCAGAATTTCTGCCCTCTTTTGACCCGCACAAAAAGACCCCGAAGTGGGAAACTCTCTGTAGCAACACAAACGTTAATTGCACGTATCCGGCCCAGGGGCCATAGTTTGAGGACCCCTGATTTAGTGCAATATAAAAAATGCAAATAATTTTTCTGCAGACCACCAAAATTTTCTCATGGACCACCAGTTGGTGACCTCTGGACTAATGTACAATTCAAGTGCTCTTGAACTTTTACTGTCCTATCTCACTACCTAGAAAATGTTTCTACTTTCTAGCTAATGCTCCCGGTTGTTCTAAGATAATTTTCTTTAGCCTTTGCACTTTCTGTTATTATAATTTCTAGGCCATTTTTTTAATTAAAAAGGAAACAATCACAATATTGTGTAGCTATGCATTTGGAGGTTCAGTGCCATTTTTTTTCTAAAGCTTGGAAAGCTGATGCTAGTGAACGGCACCTGAGGATTCTATGTAATATTTTGAATACTAATTGGTGGAATGGATCAATCAATGCATTTAATTCTTTGTGTGTCAAGATATCGAAGTCACCACCCCAGAAAGAAATATCCTTCTATGTCAAAAGATTTCTCCTGCTATGAAAGGCAGATCAGATTCAGCAAATAATCTAAATTGGTTTTGCAAATAAAGTCAAGAAGGATTTACACAAAAAGCAAAGTTTAATGCAGGGCTGGGCTGGATAACATTGTTTTAGGCTGAGAATCTCTTGATTCTGGAGTGGTGTGCTAAAGGGTCAAATAATAATAATAATAAATTTTGAGTACAGACGGATTGTCATTTGGAACACAACACGCCAGATATCATGGTTGTCAAGGGCCGAAGTGTACAATTTATTGACATCGCTGTACCAGGAGATGCCAGAGTTGAAGAAAAAGAACTGGAAAAAAATAATGAAATATTGCGACCTGGCCATTGAAACTACACGATTATGGATGAAACATGTAACAGTGATACCCATTGTCATCAGGGCACTTGGTACCATGTCTAAGAATTTTACAAAACACATCAAGAAATTGCAGCTTCCTACAATAACAACAGTGGAACTGCAAAAAACCTGCGCTACTCAGAACATCATATATTTTAAAAAGGTACTTGGTTGATACCTAGGATGCTGGCAGCAACCCGTATCAACCATCAGCACCAGTCAATGGTATTTGTGATGCATTTTTGAATGTTCAGTTGACTGAGTTTCATGTTTAATGAATAAAATAATAATAATAATAATAATAATGATAATAATGATAATAATGATAATAATAATATGGTGCCAGAGTAAAAAAAAACAAGGTTCATGTTTGAATAACATTCTCTGAACATCTTTGACATTGTTTCCCATCCTTTTAAATAATTCCCTTCTTCTGTCCTGTGAAATATTTTGATTTGGAGGAAACTTCTAGAGAAGCTTGGAAGCTGCACCCAGAACTTGGAGAGGTGTTTGCAACCCCAGGCTTCAGCCAGTTTCTTGGCCCAGCTTACTATTTCTATCTGCAGGGTGACGATGCCCCGTTTTGTACAAAATTAAAAGAAGACCCTAGTTAAAAATCCGGCATCAACCTCATTGAAATGATCGGGAAGCCCCTGAAATTCAACCCCAATAAATGCGTATTCACGCATCCCCTGGTTTTGCCAGTCTCCCAAAGTGGCCAATTTCAAGCTCCAATTGCTTGATTCCCTCTTCATAACTCATCGCTAGGACTGCAGTATCGACTTGGGTCGAACGGTCTTGTATTTGGTTTTTATTTTATTTTATTTTAAGGACCTGGCCCGCGTGATGGGGAAGTACCTCCAGGCGGAAGCACCTTGTCGGGATTGTGATTTTAAAGGTAAAAAAAAAAACGTAAGGTGTCCTTTGCCGGTTTTTTTTTTCTCTTGCCAGCCTGCCTTGAAATTTGCAATGTCTCCTCTTCCCACATTTTCTGATCCTTGACCACATCCAGAGAACAAGGGCATGGGAGCCTGTAAAGTCACCCAGCTCAAGAGCAGCTGATCACAGCATTGGTTTTAGGACACCTTTTCAAGGTAGCAGCTAATCTGGGTCTCTTCTCCTCCCCCCCAAAACGTGGGCTATCCTGCTTATCTGCCCCCCTCCCCTTTCTCTAGAGCCAGGCATCCAAGCTTTTTTAGGGTGTTGCCTCATGTTGTCTTCCCATCACATCTGAGCAAAGTTCTGGCCCTTTTCCTACACCCTCTTATCTCCAGAGAGATGTCACTGGGATCAATTTTTTTTTTTGGTGCCTCTGGGAAGATTTAGGGAGGGGGCTGCAGGGTGTAGGGTGCTCGGGGACAGCGTTTTGGGGAAGGGGCTCCCTCCTACGCCGCCGCCGCTGCTGCTAAAATGCTGGGTGCTCTGTTCCCTTGGGGTAAAAAAAAAAAAAAAGCAGCTTGTAGAACATCTCATTGGAAAATCAGCCATGAAATTGGGGAGGTGAAACAAGCAGAAGGGAAAGGAGACCCTTTCTGGCAAGGACCCCCAGAGGAAGGAGGAGAAGGAGGAGGAAGAGGAAGAGGATGGTGGGGGGAAGCACAGAGGCTGGATGATGATGATGATGATGGGGGAAGAGGTGATGGGGATGAAGATGAGGAGGATGGAGGGAGGGAGAGAGAAAGGATGCTCGCCTTCTCCAACCCCAGCCGGCCTACCTGGAGGGGTTTCCCGGCGGCGAAGGAAGACTCGGCAGCAGCAGCTGCTGCTCCTCTTCAGCCAGCCCGGATCGAGGCTTCCTCCGGGGGGCCCCAGCGGCATCCAGAGCCTGGCCAGGCGATCGCATCGCCGCCCCCGAAGGACGAAGCGGAGATCCAGCAAGCAGATCGCTCGACGCTGGCCCCTGGCGGCGATGGCTGCTGCCGCGAAAGCCAACGTGCTGCACCCGGAGCCGGTCGGCGAGGAAGCGGCGGGAGGAGGAAGAGGAGGAGGAGGAGGAGGTGGGACCGATCCGGCAGGGGAGGGGGCGGGGATCGCCCCCTGCCGCTGCGTGATCCTCTTCTCAGGCTCGGGACCGATTGGAATCGGGGGTTGCCGAGCGGGCAAAATCGAGGCGTGCCGTTCCACGCGCGCCTCTTGCGGGCGAGTCCATGCGCCGCCCGCCTTCCCTGGCTTGGAGGAAGGCTGCGTGGATGGGGAAGGGAGGGGAAGGGAAGAGAGGGGAAGGGAGAACCCCCCCCCCACGTGTATGGGGAGGGTCCTGCTTGGAGCAAGGGAAGGGGATCAAAGGGATCAGGAGTTTAGCTGGGGGAGGGGGAAAGGAAAGGAGAGATAGGAGCCTGGCAACTTTTGGGGTACCAGGATGGCTCTGGCAGCGAGGAGGAAGATCTTCCCCTCCAGGAAGATCCTCGTGGGTGGATTCCCTCCCCCCCACGACCATCCCACTGGTGGGCTGTGAGCCAGGCGACTGGCCATCTCAGTGGTGGCCCCCACCGCTTTGGAACTGCCTCCCCCCCCAGGTTATTGATGGCTCTTTTTGCATCTTCTAACCAAGCCAAATCAGTTGGGTGACATTCATTTTTTTTCGGCTTGGGGTGTGATTTATGGATCGGTTTTACTGCTCCCCGAAAGTGGCAGATTGTAAATGTGGCAGGTAAATTAAATGGACGTTTATAGCAGAAGAATTAGCTGAGGGTCACCCCGGGGAATTAGATAAATCGGCTTCTAAGTTAGACTGGCATTTAGGGACATAAAAGGAATAAGCACACCAAAAGATGCACTTGCTTCCAGCTCCTGCTTTTTATTCTGTGATAAGAGCAAAGATCATCTTATTGAACACATAACTTGAAGATGATGTTGGATAACCATTTGTGTGAAGTGGTGTAGGGTTTCCTGCCTAAGCAGGGGGTTGGACTAGAAGACCTCCAGGGTTCCCTTCCAACTCTGTTTATTCTATTTCTATTTCTAACTTGGCTGGAAAATTATATGGATACTGAGAAGCACTTTTTAAAAATAACTTAAAAAAAAAAAAACCCACCGCAGATCCATATTGCAGGCTTTAAAAACTAGAACATAAACAAAGAACCCCAAATTTAAAACTTAAGTCCTTGGCTGGTGGAAATTTATGGGAATAGCCCCAATCAGTCAATAGTGTCCCATTAATAGCCTAGCCCTAGAGGAAAACCAGCAGCTAGAAAGGGTTGTGCTATCAATTCTGTTAGGAGAATGTACTTGTTATTTAAGTAAAGGTTAATTCAACCTATAACCCATTTATGATTGAAGAATATTTAAAGATGGTTGCAAAATTAGATGCTTGGAGTTCAAAGAGCAGTTAAAACATGTAACTTGATGTCCTTGAAGATTCTCCCAATTGATTATGTGCCAAAAGTCAGTCTCAACTCTTCACAACCCAACAGATTGTCTGTTGATGTCCCTGACAGAACATCTTCAGAACTTCTAAGGAGCACCCATTGTTGTTGTAATGGGAGTCCATTCACCTTGTCCTCTCCTGCTTTTTCAGTCCATCTTACCCAACGTTAGGGCATCTTCCAGAGAGATGCTTCTGAAGTTGGATAATTTGAGCTTGGTCCTTTGTTCCTTGAGGGAGAAACTCTGCCTTGATTTTCTCCCAAACTTGTCAAAAAAATCAAAAAGAAATTAAGCAGATTAAAAAAAAATCTGGAGAAGTATGGAATATTAAAAAAAATTAGGGGAGATGTCTTCAGCCCCAATATTCTTTAATTTTTGTTCATCTCTGGTCAAGGCAAATATGACCATTCATACGTAATTCAGAGTTTCAAACGTAAATCAGAATTTGCTCTTTCTTGGCTGTCAACTCTTCAAACTGTCTCATTGGGACGGAGGTAGTAGATCATTGAAAATTTCCAATTATATCCTGTTTGAAATCGTTTTATTATAGCCCTTGAACAAGACAGGGAGTGAAATTGGACATGTCCATACACTTTGCTCCGAACCGGCCTGAATGGTAGTTGAATCGCTCCCATCCTCTTTATTCAAAGTTTTCCCATGGTCTTTTGGGCATCCCACTGCCTGACGTGATCCATTCAACTATTCTCCTCTCCAACCTGTAAGTAATGAAGAAGAGGAACCACAGCAATCATAGAGAAGCACAATTACATTTAAACCAATACGGTGAGCACCAATAAAGACAGGCAGAGAGCTGGAATTGCACTCTTGTTCTCAGATCTCCGCGAAGGTTTCTGTCATTCAGAAATGATGACTTGAGGGAAGCTGTGCGTTGAGAGCCACTGAGGCTTGACAACTAAAACACATTCATTTGTACTCTACTGTTTGAAGCTTTTCTTAAAACTTAGAAATGCCAACTCAAGCCTTCGCCGCCGCCCAGAATTATGACTTCTCCAAGCACGGAGAAAAATCCAATTTCTTGGAGAGAAGGCTGGCTTCTAGCCCATGAGTTGGCAACCATGAGCCTGCCAGCTGTTACTGGATAGTAGCAGCTGATCCTTTCCTATTGGCCAAGATAGGACTTCTCGTAATTGGAGCTCCAACATTTGGACGGCTGCACATTAACTTGACATGTTATATATGCAGGATAACTTGTGCATGGAGGAACTTCAAAGGAAGAGGCACATCCCAGAGCTAAGCCGCCTACCTTATCTGCTATTTGTGAGAACTATCCACCTTTCGCTTTGAACACCAAGCTGTGTGAAAGTCAGGCTCTTACAAGAATTGCTGTCGGAGCAGGGAGCTCAAATTGCCTCAAGATAAAAGCGAACCACAAGATATAAAAAGAAACAATATTGTATGTCGAGGCAGATCTACAAGTCAGACTAGACTTGTTATCAAAGTCCGATTTGGGGCTGGCTGGAGAAAAAGTTGAGAGGAAGAAACTGTAACCAATTCGTTTAAAGCCGCATTCTTCTCACGCGAGATATGAGAAATTAAAAACTTTAGGAAACCACCCGCTGTCAAGCTTTGCTTTAAACTGCTCAGTTCTCCAAATGGATCCAGCTGCACCTTTCTTAAATCAAGAGATTCCTGATTTATTCATAGCATTAGGGATTGCAGAGCACAAATACAAGTGGGCAAGAATGAGCACAGCTGGAATATTCAAGCCATTTTACCATTCAGAGAGGAAGGGAGGGAAGGAAGCAACGGTTGGTCTATCAGGAGAAAGGAAAAGAAAAAAGAATATTAAAGATTCAGTAAGGTGACACTATATTAACAGATAATGGGAATGTTCAGAAAACCTTCCATAATTTTTATGCAAATTTGTAGAAAAGATACAAATTTTTCCCTCTGGAAAAAAACTGATGAATATTTGAAAAAAAACCCCCAGAATTTACCAAAGCTTTCACAATCTAGAAACAAATTTTATGAATATGAAACAAAATATAACAACTTTTGAAATCTCAAAAGCCATGAAAAAAAAGAGAAAGCACCATAAAATACCAAAACAAAACCTGATAGAATACAAAGTTCACACTATAAATGTTTTGAAGATTAACCTTTGCAACCGCTGAAGAGAGCAATGAATTCTATTTTGCAGGGATCCGCTATGCCAGAATCTTGGAAAGAGACTAATAAATACTGCTTTATTGCCAAATTTAATTTGACTAAAGTATTTACACCAATATTGGCTGATAGATTAAAGATTTTACAGGATTTTACTCATGATGGTCAATGTGAGTTCTTAATAATAATAACTTCATTGTCATTGTACGTGTATACACAGTATACCCATACAACAAAATTCACTTAACACCCAAAGACCAGGTCCCACACACATAACAATCCCCAAACTCCCACCCACCACAATTCCCCACCCCTAAACCACCTAAACATCCACAGAACAGACCAAGTAATGCTGTCCAACAGCTCACTGATGGTGGCCCTTTAGTTCATTGTTGAGTGCAATTATAGCTCTGGGATAAAAACTATTCAGAAGACCATGTGGTCTGAGTTCTAATTGTTCCGTATCTTCTGCCAGAAGGCAACAGTCCAAAAAGATTGTAAGCAGGATGGGAAGTCATCTGCAAGTTTCAAACAGTGAGATTCGAAGATGTCGTCCAGGGCTGGTAGCTGGAGTCCGATGATATTCTGGGCAATTTTAATGATTCTCTGTAGAGCTTTTTTGTCTGCTAGAGCTGCTCCCATACCAAAAGACAATTGTCTTTTCTTACAAAAAGACAATTAAGAGATAATGTGAGAATTATATTGAATATAATAAGAGTATCTGGAACAACATAACGAGATGCAAGTGGCACTGATTTTTCTGGATGCAGAAAAAACTTTTAACAGTGTGAATTGGTCTTTTATGTTTACAGTTTTGGAAGGACATGGACTTTTGGGAGAATTTTATTCAAAGGATTAAATCAGTACACATACCTTAGAAGGTGCATGTTATTAATAGTGATTTAATGAAACCATGTGAAATACAGAAGAGGTCAAAGCAAGGATGTCACTTTGCTTTTTATGTTAGTTCCAGACATTAGACAGGATGAGAAAACAATTGGATTGAAAAGTTAAAGAGACTTATAATTCGAGGACTTTTGCTGATGATGTAGTTTTGATTTTACACAGCCTCAGAATAGTATTGAACACTTAATGAGGAAATTGAAGACTTTGTTGCATTAGCTGGTTTAAAAGTAAATAAGCCAAAAACAAAGCTCTTGATTAAAAATAGGAGTACATCAGACCGAGAAACTTTGATTTGTATCTTTTTCAGAAAGTCTTAATACAAATGATGTCATTCCACAAACTGCAATAGAATTTCATCCACCACATGCAATATTCAGAAAACCAAAATCCATAAAATTGAGGTTTCACTGTAACAAACCAAAGCCAAACACTGTTTAATTTATATTACAGAGCATTTTATGCATAAATACATTCTATACAATTATTTACAATTTATCTACAAGTTACAAGAAAAACCTGCATTAGACTATTGTTCAACCCATTGTGAGGGCTTTGTGGTTTATTAGTGAAAGATGATAATTTAGCTGTCGAAAAATGGTCAAAGGCTGGAAAATCCTGCTGTAATTTGCTTGAATGTTTCCAAATAATGAATTAAATCGGGTTGCTTAATTCCAAAACAAAGCAAAAAGTTAGCAACAGGAATTAGACATGCTCTATTTCTTTCGTGAGAGTAAGTTTGTACTCTCAAGGCCAAAGAGCCCTTTACCCAAAGAGGAAAGGTTTAATGTCACAAAGAACAGCTGGGCAAAAATCTGTATGCATGCCATTATTGTTACCCAGAACTATCTGTACGGATATCAGTACTGAGGCACTGAAAGGGTCTCTCTCTTCAGAAACAGGAGTCCATTAGAATCCAAGGTTCGCTTCAACAGAAGAAGGTGGGAAGAAATCCATTCACAAGAGTCAATCTTCAATACCCATTTACTGGTAGTTGCCTGGTTTTGTTTGAGGTCGAAATACACGCCTGATGCTACTTTCAATGAAGAATTTCAACCCTCGTAATTCTTGGGAGTACAAATATTCCAAGTACCAATCCCATCTCCTCCCCTGCAGATAAAGCATTAGAGTAGTTTACGTCTCCAGGTACACAAATTCTTCTTTGCCATACAATTTTTTTACGACCCTATAATCCCTTGCATCGGGATGAAGTCAGGGCGACTGAACGGAGCTCGAGCGTTTACTGGCTGGATGCCCTTCCTGACACCGACGTGGAGTTCACAGCAGACAATAACTCGTTGCACCCAGAAAGAGAAAAATCTGCCTCTACCTAGGATCAAACTCACAGCCTCCCGATTGTGAGGCGAGACCTCCACCTCTGGGCCCCCGTGCCACCTCTCCTTTGCCATACAATATCCACTCATTTTCTGTGCAGCTTCTGAATTCCCAGATCAATTTACAAAAGCATGAGCCTAGAAGTTCTAATATTTTGTAACTCACACCTAACCGTGTGGAATCATTTATCATTGTACAGTCTTATTCTCAGAACCAATGCCCAACTGGTTACAATATAGCAAACTTCCCAAGAAATTTAATTGTTTTCAAAATGCTATGACTTTTTACCTGAATTAGCTTGATATCTGGAATTTTGTGTTCTGACTGTATCTAAAAAGAAAGGAACAATTAAAAAAAATGTTTTGTGAACCTTGAACAGATATTTTAAAAAGTTATTAACACGGCCTAGAAACTACATCAAAAATGTGCCCTTTCTGAGAATAAGATGATACTGCTGAAGGACAAAAAGTACCATAAGGATGCTTTTGGGGTTCTAAAAAATAAAATCAGGTATATCGGCATCTCTAAACCACGTCATTAAATTAGGATACATTAATGCAAACCTAGGATTTTATAATGGTGCTATATCAGTTGGCTTATATTAGACCAGGGGTGTGAATCTCGACTTCATTGAGGGCCGCATCAGGGTTATGTTTGACCTTGGAGGGCCAGGTGGGCGTGACCAGCTCGACATCACTCGTGTTGGGGGTGCCTGTGGCGGCCTGAGAGCTCTACCAGCGAAAATGAATTCCCGAGTTCCGTTTCACCTACAATGGCCACCTGTAACCCTCCACCAGCGAAAACAGAGCTTGGAAGTGCTACCCGTGGCCCTTGTGAACTCTGTTTTTGGCTGCGATGGCCTCCTGCAACCCTCTGCCAGTGAAAACAGAGCTCGGTAGGGATGCGTTTTCACTGGAAGAGGCGCTGTGGGCTGATCCTTTGCTGTTTCCAGGGTGGCCCCATGGGCCAGATCTAAGCACCCCCTGGGCCGGATCCGGCCCCTGGGCCTTGAGTTTGACACCTCTGTATTAGACTGATTTTAGAAAATATCTGGGTCTCCTTAAATTCAACATGAGAAAACTCAGTGAATCAAAAATAAAAAAACAAAATAAAAAAATCTAGGCCCACTTACAGAACAGATAGCTCTTATTGCCGCTAAGCGATTGCCGTTCCACTATAAACTGAATTGTAATTGACTTAATTGCTGGGGACATTTAACTCTCTTGCAATGAGCTTCTCGCTATTTCTGTCTTCAATGGTGCTCCTCACCTTATTCTTCCACCTCTTTTGCAGGATAATCTCTATTTCATATTATAGTGATTTATTAAATCGCTATTGGTCATTATCGGCCTAAGGCAGTTTCTATCTCTTGTCAGAAAACTGAACATGCCTACCAGTCATTGAAGCCAGCAATTGCCAAAGATTCCCCCCGAAGGGCTGCTATGTCTTTAGCAATTGAAGGGGAATGCTCATTCATGACAAATCTGCTTTCACCAAAGCACTTAGAAAGAAGGATCAAATTGTTAGTTTTCTATAGTGCTCCTAAGAGATGAGATCTCACTGCAGAGCCCTGATGTCTTATAGATACCATGGGGAGCTAGAAACACATACTTCGACAGGCAGGAATGAAAATAATGGTGTTCAGCAAAACAAAACAAAAATTGTGCTGGGGTCTGTACTCCCTGAACTAGGTTGAACTCTTTGAAAGGCGTTGCTGCTGGTTTGTCTCCTGGAGATGTGAGGCTCCCCCAGTGGAGGTAAAGCAACACTGTGACATTTTTCCTACCATCTTTTCTCCCTAAATTAACGGCTGGTCCTATATATATTAAGATCAGCTAGATTGATGAGAGATCAGCATGTACAAATTAGCATAATTAATCTGTTAGGTAGGAAAACAAGGTCATGATTTTGATGGCTTGCCTAAAAGTGATGCCCGTTTCTATGAATATTCATTAACCCCTAATTGTGTTTCTTACTAGTTAGGCAAAAGAAAAAGAAACATGGATCTCGGAGGGATCCATGAGCACCTCCACAGAGAAATCTTCACAGCTTCTAAATTTCTTTAAGCATTGCCATAAAAGTTAAGCTTAAGAACTAGAAGTCTTTTTTTTTTTTTAAAGAAATAAAGGAATGCAGAGTATCATATTGGGCTTAGTCTCTAATTGTGAATAGAATATTTGACTGTAATCAAAGCAGGAAGAAAAGCCCTTTTAAAGTCCAAGTCCCAAAGACAGAAAGTAAAATTAAAAGGGTACTGGACAAAAGGAATTAAATAGACACGTTGTGCCTTAACTGGCCAATATGTTGCCAGCGAGTTTCTACAGCTACCCTGAATCTAACTCTTTGTAGGAGATGGGTAGTTTAGAAATGTAATATAACGACCCCCATAATCCCTTGTGGGGTGGAGTCTGGGCAACTGAATGGAGCTAGCAGAGTGTTTAATGGCTGGATGCCCTTCCTGTCGCCAGTGTGGAGTTTTTTCTCATTGTGCCCAGAGAGAGAAATATCTGCCTCTACCTAAGATCGAACTTACAGCCACCTGATTGTGAGGCGAGAACTCCACCTCTAGGCCACCGCACCACTCCGTGTATGTATGTATGTATGTATGTATGTATGTATGTATGTATGAGTGTGTGTGTGTGTGTGTGTGTGTGTGTGTGTGTCTGTCTGTCTGTCTATCTATCCATCCACATACATATATATATATACACACACACACATATACACAGAGTCTCAAACTCCTTAAGTACATGAAAGCTTGAGATTTTATAGCATAGTTGCAGCTCAACCACACTATGCCAATGAATAAAATATGACACAATGAAGACTAGTGAAGGACACAACAAAGGTTTAGGCATATTCAGTAAACAAAATTTGACAAAATAAGGAGGATGGTCCTCAAAGATAAAACCTCCATTTACCTGCTGCACAAAGAGTATAGCGTAACCTGTCAAGGCCGGATGGTACACTATGTTCAAGGCCTTTCTGTATTCCTGCACCAAGGTCTTCTCCAGCACTCCGGGCTCCATATAAATCCCCTGAGGGTGGGAATCTGTGTGGAAGACGTTTGAGGTCCAAAGGCATCCAACCATACTTGTTATATATTGGTTGTATTCTTGGCAAATCTGGCTGCTAAACTTAATCTGCAGCGATGCCTGAAAGGATCAAGGAAGACAAGGTTTGCAATAGCTTTTTCACCCTTGCTAAAAGCAACCGTTTGCATTACTTACAGAATACCAGATGGTATGAAAAGGCAAAAGACAGAAACTGCTTTCTCAGGCAAAGTCAGAAAAAAAGAAGGAAATCTTTGAACAGGTACAATAATTTTGGAAAACAAATTTGAAAGGTAAGATAGAGAAAAGCTAATTACTATATTGTGGCAGTGACATAGCAGGCACTGTGCCTTGTTTTATTGTACCTTTTTGGCTTGTAGATATTTTTTTGCAGCTATCAAATTGGTTCGATACCTAAAATAGAAACAAAGAAGAGGCTTTTGACTATTTTTTTAAAACTCCAAACAGGACTACTAAAATTCCAACCCATAAACGATAGCTTAAAAAGATAACTGATTTCTTGGCTGCTTGCATTGCCGGTCCCCATTCATCAACATTTTAGGCATCAAGAAGTCTTTCCTGTCCAGCTTTATGGAAAGTTGTTCAGTTAGTAATAGGGTTGTTAAGGGACTTTGCTTGTTAGAAGGTCACAAAAGGTGATCCGATAACTCCAGGACACTGCTACCGGTCATAAATATGAACCAGTTGCCAAACATCTGAATTTTGATCATGTGACCTGGGGATACTGCAATGGTCTTAAGCAGGGGTCCCCAAACTTGTCAGCTTTAAGACTTGTGGACTTCAACTTCCAGAATTCTCCAGCCAGTGCTTGCTGGAGAATTCTGGGAGTTGAAGTCCAGAAGGTCTTAAAGCTGACAAGTTTGGGGACCCCTGGTCTTAAGTGTGAAAAATAATCCTAAATCCCTTTGTTCAGTGCCGTCGCAACTTTGGGCAGTCACTAATAAGTCGAGGATTCTATAAGACAACCATGAAACCCAACAGGCTATGCATCTAATGCAGAAGGCAGGACGTTCTCATATGGAGGAACAATGGTACATCATTCAGTCACTATAGAAACTGGAAATCCTCCAGTAGTTAAGCCCCATCTATTTCTCCACATAATGAATATAATTTTCAGCACCACTCCCAGAATGCTTCTTTCCAGGTGAACTATCTGCAGCTTTTGAGGGGAGGAAACTAACCTAAAGAATCCTAACATAGTAGTCAGCAACTGGTGACTTCTCAGACGCCAAGTACTAGAAACAAAACTGCTGAAAAACAACCTTGTTGAGCCACGAGCCTTGTAAAAACAAATCCATATTCACAGTTGACCTCAATAACTCAGTTCTTTGCTGACCACTAACGAACAGGGCGTCGTGTCCCCAATTAACGTCACGATGTTCTACACAATTAAAACTGGAGTTCAAATGATTTAATCTTCACCAAGACGATTCTTGTAATTTTATGACAGTTATCTGTCCATCAAATCACGTCGGATTTGACTGGGGGGGGTGATGTTTGTGAAGCGCTATTTAATATTAAAAAGTTGACTCTTAATTTCACAGGGTGGCTGCAGAGATCGCTTACGCGCGCATATGAAATCACTGAGACGACTGTCCCTTTCAGTCAGTCTTCCTGGGGAAAAAGCATGAAAGCGAGTAACCAAGGCAACAGTAGGTTTAAGAGAAATAAGCCATCAACTGGGAATTCATTTTTATAACCATCCTGTTTATCAAATTTGAGAGACCGGGATTCTTGGCCAAAGAAAGCAGATCTTGGCACAATGTTTTAGGGAAGGAAAAGATGAGGCAATGAGAAGATATTTCTTCACATCTGGGTATAAAATAACAAGTGTATAGGCAGAGAATCATTCTCAAGTTAAGTCAACAGTTTCTTTTAAACTCCAATATTTAAAATGCAAGTTGTGCACATTGGCATTTGGCCTCAAAGTTCTGAAGTGCTTTTTCATATAATGCTGAAGCAGAACCTGCTTTTCTCTCTCACAGGCAGAAGTCTTACATGTATAGGTAGCCCTCAACTTAAGGTCACAATTGGGACTGAAGTCTCTGTTGCTGGGTGAAGTGGCCATTAAGTGTGATGCTCACGACATTACTTTAGTCATCAACTGTAATCCCAGCTCTCCCACTTGTTGTTAAGCAATATGGGAATTGTTAAATTATTGTACAAATGTTCCTCAGGGGTAGAGGGAAGCATGTGGAAATCTGCCATGGGCCAGGAGGCAACACAGCCCACTGTTGAGTGGAAACTTCCCATGGGCCAGGAGGCCCAGACTACCTCACTGCCCCGCCAGCCTAGAAGATCCAGTCTTTCTCATTGCCCCACTATATCCGGACCTCTTGGCCTGTGGGATTGTAATGGCGAATGGTCAAATGAACAATTGTTCTGACCCAGCTCCCAAACACGACCAACCCTCTGTAGTTAAATAAATGTTCCCTTTATTAGGAGTGCCCCGGCAAAAAGTCTCTCCCTCTCTCTCGCACAGCAGGCTAACAAGTCTGTCCAGCAGGGAGATGGATAGTTGTCTGTCACACCTATTCATCTCCTCCCCCTGCCTTTTATCCCCAGAGGTAGGGTGGGGCTTCACTAGCAGCGGTGGCTCTTCTGCCCCGAGGATTGGCCCATAGATTTCCGCTGCTCTCCTCTCCTCTGCCTTGAGCGCATCCGCGCGTCAGGCACTGGGCCCAGTTGTTCCTTCTCTTCCTCATCAGCCACTTCCAGACCTGGGGGCTGTTGACTCTCCATCTGAGGGCTGATGGATGGCCCAGGCTTCGCCTCTGTCTCTATCCCTGCCAACTCCATTCCCTCTTCCCGCTTGGAGCTCTCAGGTTGCCTTGATGCTAGCCCTGACTCCCACGCCGCCTCAACTGATTCGGTTGCTGGAGGGGCTGGCGGCCGACATGCCACAACAGATAGTTGTAAGTCGAGGACTGCCTGTATACCAGGGCCAGATGTCTAGAGTAGTCTCACAAGCCAACCATAAAGATCGTGCATATTCTTCCTCTACTGAAGAAAAATCAGAATAATTCATAGCCTACGTGTTCATGAATTTTGCTTAAATTAGCTAAATTGTACGCATTAATGTATGGCATTCTCTCTTCGCACAACTAAATGGATTTCATCAGAACAGAACTCACTGTCTTCCACAACCTCAGCCCAACTGAAGTCCTCAACTTTAAACAGTTTGCTTAGTGACCGTTCGAAGTTACAATGGCACTGAAAAAAGTGACATGACCATTTTTCACACATGACCGTGGCAGCGTCCCCATGGTCACATGATCAAAATTTGAACACTTGGCAACCGACTCATATTTATGACGGCTACAGAGTCTCAAGAGTCACGTGATCCCCTTTTGCTACTTTCCCACAAGCAGTCAATGGGGAATCAGATTCACTTAACAACCGTGTTACTAAATTAACCACTGCAGTGATTCACTTAACAAATGTGGCAAGAATAGCTGCAAAATGGGGCCAAACTCACTTAACAATCTTTTCACTTAGCAATATAAATTCTGGGCTCAATTGTGGTCGTAAATTGAGGACTACCTGCATTGCTTTACCCAGAACTATAGAGATTATGGCCTCCCAGATGGTTTGAAAGATAAAAATAGCATGGGGAAGAAAAACAAAGGAAAGGCCCTGTCAGTACCTGAACATAATGTGGCACAGCTGGTCCACTGTGACAGAATCCATGCTGAGAAGTGCTGGATAGAAAACTCCTGCAGGAGGGATCACAAGCAAAGGGACCTTGTACTTCTGAAACATGTCACATACCTAGAATAAGGAAGGGATTTCAGTAGAGTATTTACATATAAAAATTGAGAGTGTCATGTCCTTATCATCCACCTATTCACACTGGGCTCCAGTCATGATGCAGAACTTAATACAGATTTACTATAGATTTTTTTTTAAAAAAAACATAAGGGTTACGAGATTGGCTGCTATTTTTGGACTTTCTCCTGTACAGAAACTTTTAGAAGTTTTTTTCTCCCCCTCATCTATTTATTGGAGAAAATCGTTCCAGTTGGTGCTACTCAATAGTGCGAATTTTTTTAAAAAAATCCTCACTAGACCAGCTATATTAAGTTTGAGATACTTTATTTGCTTGAAATTTAGTAAAGTCTTCAAATCATTATTGTTTGTAATAGTTTGGTTGTTATCTCTTAGTTGCTTTTACTGCTATCCTAAACAGATTATTTTTTTTTTGTTGAGGCTCCCTTGACTGCAATTTTCTAAAACTGGAGCAGCGTTGACCTGAGGAAAAATAATGGGTTCTGTATGAACAAAAGGGATTGAATCCTTTAACTTCCTTCCTTCCATCCATCCATCTAATCTACCTACCTACCTACCTACCTCCTGCCTTTATTATTTTTACAAATAACTCAAGGCAGCCAACACACCCAACACATATATTAGAATCTCTTCCCTAATACTACTGAAGTGCGTTATCTAAATGCTTGGAACAAAGTTACAGCAAGACTAGCTTACATACTATTTCATAGAAATCCAGAATGAAGTGCATTAAAAAAGCAGAGTTGTTCTCCAAGTGCAGGGCAATGGTTGAAAGCCGGCCAACAAAGTGGATGAGTTCTGTTATAGAATTAACCAGGCTTGAAATAGAAGTGTTCCTGCAGCAGAATGAGACACAAACATGAGCATTCATGTTGGAAATGACTTCTATGTATAAGAGTGTTTTTCCCCTCGGCTTCCAGATGGAAATCACAGTGCAAAACAGGTGGGACCTGTTTTTAAAAGATGATACTTACAGGACATCTGCAGTTAACTCAGATGTCATGTCTGTTTGCAAGAAGTGCCAATTCAGCCAGTTCAGTAGCAGTTCCCTTAGGCTTTCAAGAACACTACACTACAGAAGAAGAACAAGGACACAAAAAACACATATTGAATAGCTGCAATTCAATCTTAAGAAATTATGCTATGATGTACTAATTTTATAGATAGATGATAGGTAGGTAGGTAGATTCAGTCTTAAGTAACTTTGCTATGATATACTAATTTTATAGATGATAGACAGACAGACAGCAATCAAAAGACAGTAACAGAAATTTTTGCAAGGTCAAGTAAAAGATAAAAGCAGGTAGATTTTTTTAAAAATGGAATTTTTCAGATAAGTGATACTAGATTTATATTTTTGCTGTTGTTATTGGCAATGTGTTCCCATATCTCTTGCCCCCTGCCCCAAACTTTGATTCTTCCTCATTGCACAAATATATGTAAGAGAAAACTGCATGCTTCTTTTGGCATAAGTAGCCCTGTGTTAGTCGGTGAACCCCAATATTGTTTCCTGCAGTTTGGATTAAAAATTGTTAACGTTTTGGAAAAATTATAGTCAGCAGAGGGCGTATTTCCTTAGTATGGCACAAATCAAGTTTGTTGTGTCAAAACGTCTATTCAGGGGGGCCTTCATTTACCTTAAAATAAAGTGATGAGGTGAAAAACAGCTGTGTCAACGGCTTGCAGAGATAAGGCTTCATTTCTGAAAGTGAAGAAGCAAAGAGCGATTTTGAAGCCAGCCATACTCGACCACAGAACAGGGAAAGATTGGTTGGGTCTGCATCACGTACCTGAGAAGGTGCTGAGGGGAATCCAACTGATCATCTGCAGGACTTGTGACCTACAGCAGCAGCCATCCCAGAAGGGCAGGCTTCGGTACAAAAATTCTTCACAAGATGAGAAGCCCTCCTGAAAAGCACAAATTATCAGGGAAACCCAGATTTTCTTCCAAATAAATTCTCCTACTTTCTCCTGGGTAGCAGGTTATTAATTGTCCACTTTGGGACAAGACATCAACGGCATCACTTAATTGGCCAGGGAAGGAGATACCTAACATGGAGATTATTCAACACCATGGGGTGAGGTATCTTCATGATGATACCTTACCCCATGGTGATGAATAATCTCACCCAGTGGCTTCCTGGGGATGTTAAATAGGGGTGGAGAGAGAGTATCAAATCCTGCAGGACCCCACATAATTATTATTATTATTATTTATTCAATTTATATACCGCCCTTCTCCTAGTGGACTCAGGACGGTGCACAGCCAGAACTAAAATACATAACAATACAAAATTTAAAATTAATTAAAAGAATTATATACTTTGGCCCGAATTAAAACAGTACGAATTAAAACCCATTAACAGATTAAAACTAAACAATTAATAACAATTAAAAACTAAATAATAGGGATATAGTGTGGGACCTCTCACTCTCAACAAACACTGATTGGTACTGTGGAGGCTCAGTTGATGCCACACCGAAAACCTACCTGGGCATATTTCCAACAGGGGAACCCTCTGCTCTGAACCCAGCCTCTCATTTCTGATTAAATCACAGATAAAGGAGGCTTTACTACAGACAGAAGGGCTGCCAGATCAGGGGAAAGGAGAGGGGGCTGGAATGCAGAACTGGTATAAAAAACCCCTGGCCTGCTTTTGCTACAAGTAGCCCACCCCCAGTCTCCCACTATATCTTCCTATATCCATCATAACCTTCCCAACTGCCCTCAATTGTACTGAGGTCTCTGCATGCCCCATCCTATGCCCTCTGGAACGGGATGCTTCCATTCCAATACACACCCTGGTGGTGCCAAAGACAAAAATATTCTTTTGATAATGACGGTAGGGAAAGGCTTAAACTAACCTGCAAGAAGCATTCGGCTTCCAAAACTGTGTCCAAGAATTCTTTGAATTCCAGTTCATATTTCTGGTTTTCAATCTTAGTCCAAGGGCATTCTGCGTTATAAATAAGAAACAGAGACAAAAATTTGTTTGAATAGAATCCTTTCTCCGAGAAATAATAAGTCATTATTTGTACAAGCAACAGCACATGTTTTAGCATACAGGTAGTCCTCAATTTACAACCACAATTGGGCCCAAAGTTTCCATTGCTAAGCGAAACACTTGCTGAGTGAGTTTTGTCCCATTTTACTATCTTTCTTGCCAGTTAAATGAATCACTACAGTTGTTAAGTTAGTAACTTGGTTGTTAGTTGAATCGGTCTTCCTCATCGACTTTGCTTGTCAGGTGGCCAAAGCTAATCGCATGACTCTGGGACACTGAAACGGTCATAAATATGAGTCAGTTGCCAAGCGTCTGAATACTGATCACATAACCACAGGGATGCTGCCATGGTCATAAGGGTGAAAAAAGGTCATAGGTCACTTTTCTCATTGCTGTTATAACTTCGAACAGTCACTAAATCAATGGTTGTAAGTTGAGGGCCACTTGTAATTTAACTTCACTTAGACGGCACCAGTCACAAGAATGAGTTCCCCTACCTTCTCTGAAGGTTTGGCCAAGCCAATAGTACATCCTCTGGTAAACGACATCGTCTGTGACACAATTAATGTAGTGGAGCAGCAGGTGATTTCCTAACACTGAGCCTATTTGGGAAGGAAGCTATGAAAGCAATCAGAAGACATTGTCAACTAACATGCACCTAGACATTGTCGAGCTATTGCTACTTTGTTTCTTGATCATTTTTAAATGAACACTCAGAAGCTGCTTTAACTGCTACAGTAACTTAATGGTATTTACTTTTCCAGTTCTGTTTAGAAAACATTTTCCCCACTCTGGCTTGAATTAAAAAGAAAACTTGCCTAAAACAAGACAATACACATCGAAATGATCAGGAATGTAACAATAATCCTTAATGGAGGTTCATGTTTTTACAATATATTGTAACCAGCATGTACTTTCACGTCTTTTAAAAACTGCAATCCATTTTAGAATTATTTGATTTGCATTAGATTAGACAGGCATTTATTATTGCAGCATAATAACAAGCTTCAGGGGGCTAAGCCAAACACTTGCACTCCCATCCCTTGTAGCTTCTGTTCACTTTGATGTCAGACACTTACTTCTAAACAATGGATGTTCTCTAAAAGCTGGGAGAAAGTCTGCAGATGCTGCACTGGGAAGAATTCAGGATGACTGTTGAAATCGATACAATTGGCCTTTGAACTCTGAGCTGAGCAATCAGAATTGCTGTTACTCGCAGGTATCGTCAATTTGGGATTCCATTTCTACAAAAAGCAGAAATCCAACCCTAGCAATTCATATAATTCTATTGTGATGCAATAGTGTTCATCCTCAACTCAATTACTCTTTTCTAAATATGATTTCTTTAATGGATCATCTCCATCCTTACAGAAAGAGAGGGAGGGAGAGGGAGAGCTAGATTCAATATGGAAATTCAAGGAAGGACCAAGACAGAGGAGAGAAAATTTCAGAGCCTTTGCATAAATTGAATTAGTAAAATCAGAAAAAAATAAACAATAAGAAACCTCCCCACCCCAAATATTTGTGTAGATATTAAAAGATGAGAAAGAGAAAAAAAAGATGAAGCATCAAGAAATCAGTTACTATTGTAATGGAACATGGTTTGAAAAATAATAAAGGAATTGATTGTGAATTATAAATAGGAACAATCTAAGGAATAGCCTAGAAGGTAATATCAATACAACCAAAAATGTCAATGAAAAATTGACACACAATCACAGACTAGGAACCGCATATAAACAATCTAAAGTAACTTACTTTCTTTGGGGGCTGAAATGTTAAAACTGGTTGTGATGTAGGTGAAATGCCATAAATCCGTTGCTTTATGTTACCAATTGCAGTTTTCCACAGGTTTTCTGTATTCTTAAATCGCATCTGAGAAGAGGCGAAATTGAAAGTTTCTCGTTAACCAAAATGAAAACAGTGTGTGTTAAACAGCGTGTGTCTGTGTATATGTCTGTGCATGTGTATTCACACGTGGAATTAAAAATATATGCAAGCTTTTCTTTCCAAAATATTTAATGGGTAAAACTTCACTGGGCAGAAAACCATTCAATTCAATGTGAATTAAATTCCAATTCAATTATTTCTAATTTCATTGAAGTAATGTATATGATGGTACTCAATTTACCAACTCTTTGGTATTAGGTTATGAGATTATTTCAGAAAGGATTGTACAGGAAGAGTTTTCATCTTCTGCTTCAAAGTTTGCTCACTCTTCTTCTCTGGTCTACAGGCTCTAGCTACACACAAATGCACACCACTTCCATTCAGTCATCCTTTCTCTCACCTTTGTGCTTTGGAACAAATTTGAAGACACCATGCTTGGAGCAAAGCTTTTATACATTAAGAGAAGAGCCTGCAACGGAGCTTCTGATCCCTGAGTAAAGATAAGAACAAAAGCAAAGTCCAAAGTTAATTGCTGGAAAAGGATGAAAGTAAAGTCCTCTTATTATAACTCACAAGTATAGGAATCTGAAGATTATTCTAAATCCAGATCTGTAAGAATAGTTGTGAAAAGAGAAGTGGAATCTAATAAAGTAGTCTCTATTGACATAAATGGTGGGCACCCTCTTATGGATTAAACTGTACATTGTCGCTTGTAAAGCAAAGATTGCATTACTTCTCAAGCAAAGTCTTAATCAGCAGTTAGAACATTAGAACCTTCTATAGTGTTATATTACATTTCTTAAAATGTAATTTACTAGTCAAGTAATAATAGACAATGGATGCCAATGACTTTAACATACCAATTGTTTTAATTAGATTTTTAAATATGTATATGTATTTGGTATTGGTGTATGTATGTGTGTGTATATATATATATATATATATATATATATATATATATATATATATATATAAAACATCATCTTAAGAACTGAAAACTGAGATAAAAATAGAAATAAATAAATAAATAAATACTGGATATTGATTAGCTTTCACCCTGTATAAAAGCTATCCCGTCACAGATGTGAATTTAAATTTTATAAATTGTACTTCACATGACATTAGTTTCAAATGACTCACCATCTTGGCTCTTAAATCTAAGAGTCGTCGCACACGGAAAGGTTTCACTAGGAAGAAAGATAAATAGTGTCTAATTATTTGGAGTTTTAAGATTTTATATTCTGCCTTGATGAGACTATATATAAAAAGAGACTTTTATTCTAAGACACAGGTATCAAACTTGCAGTGTCACGTTGCCGTCATGTGACATTTCAAAACTTTTTTCCCTTTGTGGAGCTGGGGTGGGCGTGGCCTGCATTTGACACATCAGGCCAGTGGACTGCCAGTTTGACACCCCTGTTCTAAGTGATGAAAATACTAGACTGAGGCTAGAATAGCATAAACAAGCAAAATTGACTACATTCCCTTATTCTCTGTGTTATAATCTTATAATCTGGGACATTAAAGATTTGAACGTTGTTTCTTCTAAAAAAAAACCAACCCTTTTGCGGCTAATTCAAGTCAACAGAATAGGCTAGCAATGAAAATTTTAAAAGTAGCTTTATTATCTCAAAGTCTTTAAGGAAGAAAAAAAGGAAAAAATACATTCTTTTGAAAGCACATTACATATTCTGATTCCAACTTTCATCTCACCATTTTCTCTTCTGGTCAGCAAATATAGCACATGGCAGATGAAGGGGCACTACAAAAAAAAATATATCAAAGAAATGCATAACTGGGCACAGTAGTCTATGCTTTACACTTTTCCAAAACAATATAAGGAGTTAGCATTTCTTTTAAACTTAGGATACATTAATGGCATTATATTGAACATTTGACTTTCAGTACCTTAAAAACATCAGCTTAAGGGTTGCCGCAAGCACTAAATCACATGACTGAGCTAGCACTCTAAAAGCAGACAGGGCTGGCCCAATCTGTGAATGATTTTGGGAGTTTCAGGAACTGAAATGGGAGCCTTAAACCTCTGCAATGCTTTAAACGCCCATTCACTCCTTGCTGAGCCTCCCAATGGGAAAAAGGACGCATGTCTTTAGCCTTCTCACTCTGCGAGACACAAACAGCATGGCTGCATGTGGTATGTGGCCCCAGGTGGTATTTTTGAGCCTCTGTGGGTTTTTTTTTAAAAAAAATTTTCTAATCTACAATTACAGTAGCAAAAATATACATAATTATGTTCCTTTTTTGAACAACTAAGGACCATATCTTTGATTACAACCCAAGTAAGGAGTTAGGAATTACATAGTTCTTTGGCTCCCAAGGCAAAAAATTTTGTTGGCCTATCAACATAGTTTAGTTTAGTTTTAGTTTTATTTGATTTGTATACCGCCCTACTCCCGAAGGACTCAGGGCGGTGAACAGCCACAGGATAAAAAACATAAATACAAAATTTAAAACTGAATAAAATCGAATTAAACAATTTGGCCGAAGACAGATGTAAAACACCCCAATAAATTAAGAACGAATTAAAATTTACATTTTAAAAAGGGAAAGAAAGGGAAACCAATTAGGCCAGGCCAGCCTGATGGAATAAAAAGGTCTTGAGAGCGTGGCGGAAGGTGCGTAGATCCAGGATCCTCCGTATCTCCGTGGGGAGCTCATTCCAGATAGTAGGTGCCCCCAGAGAAGGCTCTCCCACTGGGGGCCACCAGTCGACATTGTTTGGCCGACGGCACCCAGAGGAGCCCCTCTCTAAGAGAACGTACCGGCCAATGGGAAGCTACTGGTGGCAGCAGGCGGTCCCGCAAGTAACCAGGTCCTAAGCCATGGAGCGCTCTAAAGGTGGTAACCAAGACCTTGAAGCGCACACGGAAGACCACCGGGAGCCAGTGCAGCTCGCGCAGGAGAAGTGTTACATGGGAACGCCATGTCGCTCCCATAACCACCCGCGCAGCCGCACTCTGCGCCAGTTGGAGCCTCCGTGTGCACCTCAAGGGGAGCCCCATGTAGAGAGCATTGCAGTAGTCCAGGCGGGAAGTGACAAGGGCATGAGTGACATAGACACTGTCTAAAGCGGAAATACTGCACATCCCTATTACACAGTATCCAGGAATTTTTTCAAAAAAAAAAAGCACATCAATTTTTATCTTACCAATTTTTCATCCTGTAAGAAGTTGAAGAAGAACCCATAGAGTGCATTAACCTTTTCTTTACGATCAATCAAATCATACATTGCAATTAACCATTTTAAGAAAAGAACCTAATGGGAAGAAAACAGGAGTTGATTAGTTGATATGAATGTGGATCATAGTATATACGTAATTAGTGTTCAAAGCAGAAAGATGTAAAAGAACTGCAGACGTCAGCAGGACACGCCATACTAGTGAAAATATTATTAAGATCTGAAATATCAGGACATGCTTGCCAAGGTACCTGAGTATTGCGAGAACATTTGCCAACACAAAGCCATGAAACAGCTGAAACAATTGAATCCTCTGTTATTGTTGAAATGGGGATCAGGTTCTTCAACAGTCGAATGTTTATCACTTCAGCTGGAAGAGATTAATTTTTCATAAGGCTTAAGTACTGAAACTCGCAAATAAAATGTAGAAACACAAGAGGAGAGAAACATAATATAATTGTCTTTTTTTTTTTTTTTTACCAAACTTGCCGCTGAGTGCTATATTCAGCAAGGCATCAATTTCTTCTGGAGTCAAACCTCTTTCTTGAGCAATCTTTTCCACACTTAATAAGTGTTTCTGCAAAGCTTCATTCTTCAGGGAAGTACGATCTTTAACTAGAAGAAAAAAAAAATCAAAACTTGAGACGAAAGTAGGTGCAATCCTTGTGAGCAGCAAGCATCTCATAGGAGAATCTGCGCACTTGCTTATTTCACCATCAAGTTTTACCCTCCAAACATATTTATTCATTTCTTTCAATTTTGAAGCCACCCAAGTGTTTATTGACTCTGGGCACTTTACAATAGAAAAATAACACATATAGAAAAGGTCACAATTGACCGGACGTTTAACTCAATACAAGTTTTTAAAAAACCCCACTAAAATATTTCCTACAAAAAGAACCTCCATTGGAAAATTAACTTTTATCACTTGTAAAAATGTGTTGTTTACCTGGAAAAGTGTTAATATATGCTATGACCAATATGATCAATAAAGAACGTAATGATTTCTCGCAATGATTTCAACTATTGACCTTTTTTGCAAGGCCTTTATTGAGTGAATTAAAACTATCCATCTATTCTAATTAAGAGTATAAATACATGTTATTGTAAGGATTTTTTTAATGCATTTGCATTCTCATATGTGCTGTCAAATCAAGTATTTGGAAACAGCCACGTAGGCATAAACATATTGCTAATCTAATCCAAGATTAGATATTTTATCATTTTTACTGTATTTGAATGAAGCATCCTATTTAACATTAATTAAAACAGATGAGTATTACGCTAAGACGTGCACAGTAAAATTGTGTTCTGTTGAAAACAATGCCCTGCTGAAAGGCAGTAATGACACTCACATACGTTATCAGACTTATAGTAGCCTTTTTTGATCCAGGGTGATACCTGGCAGATCTTATTTAGACGCTTGGGTTTTCTTTGTTTTAAGGCATTAAATACTTAGCCTTGCTTTTATCCTTACTTTTTGTCAAAAAGACCAGTGCTTCTTCAAGAGGATCCTGGGTGCAGTCTGTCTCTTCACTGGAAGGTATTTTATGGTCTTTATGTTCCTGGGTACTTTTGATGCCATTTGCTACCCATGTGGATATATCAGTTTGTTTATTTGAAGCAACTGGTAAATTCTGCTTTTTCTTTTTGGCAGCTACTCCTCTCTTCATCCTTTTCAATTCCAAGCATAGAAATGCCAACAGGGCCTATTATTTTCATTTGCCAGAAATAACGCTGTATCCAACCATGTTAAACTGTGGCATCCACATTGAAAGAACTACCTGAAAAAGACAGAAAGCCATCTTAAGCAGATTATAAACTCACAACAATGCCATGATGAAATCAAACTACAGGAATGCATTCCTAAACAAAAACAAACAAACAAACAAAAATGGAGATAGAAATGTTTTATTTTTCTTTGTAGGGGCAGTCAGAAATTATGTATGTATGTATGTATGTATGTATGTATATATATATATATTTGTTTTCTCAGGTTTTCGCGGGTGTTTGTATGTAGGTCTTTGGTTATTCGGGTCTTCTCCCACGTAAAATTGGAACCATTTTTGGGGGAGAAATGGGAGAAGACCCGAATAACCAAAGACCTACATACATACATACATACATACATACATATATATATATATATATATATATTAATACTATGGTTATAAAATAAAGTGTTCATATTTATAAACAATTCTGCTTTAGTATCAGCCTTAGTGCAGTTTCCTACAATGATCCTTATTCCCAGGAGGGGCATTATGGTAACTCCAAGTCCCAATATATCATCTATTTGTACAATTTATAAACAACTCCATTTTTCAGAGGCTCTAAGGAGTTAACAGTATTATTATAAAAAGATTTAAAAACAATGATCACTTAATGCATCTAAACCACCCAACTGGAGATGACTGCTATAATGACAACAAACTATATAAGATTCATTTTTCTCGCCATGTACATGAATCTAACCTTTTGTGACTTTCTGGCCAGCGAAGTCAACAGGGAAGGCAGATTCCCTTAACTGTGCAGGGGTTCATTGAACAGGTGTGGCAAGGAAGGTTTGTAAAATGGGGCAAAAAAACTCACTTCGCAACGTTACCTGGGCGCAGAGTCTCGTCTGAACGCTGGGAACAGGCTTCCCACCAGGCCTCGGGCCCTCCTCGACCAGCCTTCCGTCCGTCCGTCCGTCCGTCCGCGCGCGGCTTCTGCCGCCTCAGGGCCCACCTAGGCCGCTCCGCTGTCACAGCAACCGCCGCGACCAATTTCTCTCCTTTTAACCGCCGTCCGTTTCAAAATTTTTTCCTCGCGCAGGCGCGCCTCGTCGTCCGGACGCCAGAAGGGGCGGGGCCGTGCGCCCAGAACCGTTTCCCATTGGTTTAAAGGCGCCTCCAAAGCGTCGCCGTGAGCATGCGCAGGCGCGCTTCGTCGCGCGCTCTCAATTTTCAGACCGCCGGGAGGAGGAAAGGATGACGTCACCCGAGTCTTCGGAGCTTTGCTTCAAAGAGCCGGGCGGAACCTGGAAGGGAAGTGCGCATGCGCGACTTGAGGGGGGTCTAATTTACTATGGATAATTGGAAATTGTGGTCGCTTTGCGTTGTATGGAGACGAGCTTGCGTCAGCAGTAATTGCTGCTTTGAATTCTTCTGCAAGCTTCGGTAGTGATGGCGTCTGAATACCTTATTTTTTTTAAAAAAAATTTTTTCAAGTATAGAGATACATCTCGACTTGCACCCATTTGTTTAATGAGGGGTTAAACGTAGGGATCCCCAAATTTGGCAGTTTTAAGACTTGTGCACTTCAATGACTGGTTAATATCGAAAGAAAGGGAAATAATAAAGAAATAAGTGGTGTACCATATGATTCTTGATGAATATATTTTTATTTTTTCTTTATGTACACTGAGAGCATATGCACCAAAGATAAATTCTTTGTGTATCCAATCACATTTGGCCAATAAAGAATTCTATTCTATTCTATTCTATTCTATTCTATTCTATTCTATTCTATTCTTTCCTATTCCTATTCCTATTCTATATTCTATATTCTATTCTATTCTACAGAATGTGATAGACTGAACCAGAACTGAAAAATAAAAGAGAATATAGTTGAAGTCCACAAGTCTTAAAGCTGCCAAGTTTGAAGACCTCTGGGTTAAAGTTACAAAGACACTGGGGGAAAAAAATATTTTTGACAGTTTTTCATACTTACAACCATTGCAGCGTCCTTAAGAAGATCATGCCCATCAAAATTCAGAGGCTCGGCAACTGGCATGTATTTATGACAGTTGTGGTGTCCTGGGGTCATGTATTCAATCACCTTTTGCAACCTTCTGACCAGCAAACTCAACAGGGAAGCCAGATTCCGTTAACTGTGCAGGGGTTCACTTAAAAAGTGTGTCAAGGAAGGTTTTAAAATGTGGCAAAAAACTCACTTCACAACTGTCTTGCTTAGTAACGGAAATGTTGGGCTCAGTTATAGTTGTAAATTGAGGACTCTCTGTCTTCTTAGAGCTTCAGTGAGTGGCCTGGTGTTATTCATCTATTCTAAATACTTTTTTTTTTAACACTTTCCCCCAAAATAAGACATCCCCTGATAATAAGCCCAATCGGGCTTTTGAGCGCATGGCAATAAAGCCAAGCGCTTATTTCAGGATTGAAAAAAAATAAATGAATACAGCAGTAAAGAGAGATGAAAGAGGAGAAGAGAAGTGGAAGGGAGGGAGAAGGAGAGAGAGGGACGGAAGAGTAGGGAGGAAGGAAGGGAAGGGAAATTAGAGTAGGAGAGAAGGTAAGACAGGGCAGAAGAGAGGAGGAGAAGGAGAAGGAGAAGGGAAGGGGAAGTAGAGAAGAGAAGAAGAGGATGGGGAAAGAAAGTAGGAAGGGATAGGGAAGAGGAAGAGGGTAGGTTTGAAAAGAAAGATTGCTGTACAATAAAAGAGACGAAGTGGAAGAAAGGCAACGCCGAACAAATAAATACAAATATATTAAGATAAAGAATGAACTGTTTAAGAATACAAGAGAATAAATATGAATAATATAGTAAAGTTAGAATTTAGGGAAAAATGAAGGTGGTGTTTATGTATGCAAGTATAGAAATATTGAGATATGTCCAAAAAAAAAGGGAAGATGATTTTGACAAAAATTGTAATTGAGCAAAATGTAATTAAATTTGATTAAATGTATAAGATAAGAAACGGCCAACACTCTATTAAAAAAAAAAAAGAGATGTGGGTGAATGTGGGAGAGGAGAAAAAAATCAGTAAAACTTGTTTATAATAATAATAATAATAAAATAAAATAAAATAAGACAGGGTCTTACTTTCGGGGAAACACGGGTACAATAGCATTTGTAAAGCAAGGCAAGGTATTCTCACCAATTTTCTGCAGTGTCGCCTTTCAAAAGCCGAGGTTTTTTCCCCTTTGTTTAGCCTTTCTGATGGTCTACAGATTTCACAGTCATGTGAACAAGTACGAAAATCATGATATGCCAATATTCACCTTTCTTGCCAGTGTGATGTCTCTTTCTTATTTTGTCTAGACCTGTCATTTGTCTCCCAAGTAGATATATTTTTATTTCATGATTAAGAGTTACTGTTAGGTTCGTTACAGTAAGAAAATAAAAGTTTGAAACTTTTTCAACTTCTTTACCGACCGTTTGTACCGGACTGGGATTATCTGCGGATGTCTTGCGATGGTAATGCAGGACACCGGCTTTTTCATTCCTCCTTTTCTCCTTCCAAAAAGCTTAGAACTTGGAAGCTCTGAGGCAAAAGGGGAATAAAAAGTGAAAAATCAAGCTGGAAGGGACACTCTTTGTAAGCAGCTTTTCCCAACCAGATGCTCCACAGATATGTATTAATCTCTGGCATATGGATCGAGATTAGAGTCACTGCAATCCAACAGATCCATCACCACGGCCACTTGATACTCTCCAAATAATGAGGGATCACAGCTCCTCCTGTCTAGCCAACACAACCAGATTATTGGGGGAGAAAGAGATTTTTAGTTCAAAATAGCTGGACAGCCTGAGGTAAAACTGATTTTTTTAAGCATGCTTATCTCTCCCATCAGAAACAGAAAACCTAATTTCTCACCCATTCTGCTTGCTGATATTTCTGAATCGCAGAATTACAGTTCTCAACTTACAACAGTTCATTTAGCGACCCGAAGTTACAATGGCACTTAAAAAAGCGACTTGTGATGGTTTTCCACAATTACGACCATTGCAGCATCTCTATGATCATGTGATCAAAATTCAGAGGCTTGGCAAATGATTCGTATTTATGACGGTTGCAGTACCCTGGGGTCGTGTGATCACCTTTTGTGACCTTCTGACAAGCAAAGTCAACGGGGAAGCCAGATTCATTTAACAACTACATTGCTAATTTAAGAATTGCAGTGATTCACTTAACAAAAAGTCGTAAACTGGAGCAAAACTCACTTAACAAATGTCTCGCTTAGCAACAAAAATTTGGGGCTTGATTGTCATAAATTGAGGATTATCTGTATTGAGATTTCATCATTTATAAGCACGAGCTGTGCTTTCTTACACAGATCCACAGAGAATTTTCTAGAGACCAATCTGCTTTAATTTAATTCTCTAATCCCAAATTCAAATTTGATTTAAACTACCAATCTTTGGTTACACTCAAAAAGCAAGTTTTTGGGCCTGTAAAGAGTAAAGTGTAGAAACAAAAAACCCCATTAGATCCAGTGAGGTTTACTTATGAGAAAATGTATACAGGATTGCAATACATGAGATCTTTCTACAAAAGTACACTAAAATGTCTTCCCCGCCCCCCGCCCCAATATCAGGGGTGAAATCCAGCAGGTTCTGACAGGTTCTGGAGAACCGGTAGCGGAAATTTTCAGTAGTTCAGAGAACTGGCAAATACCACCTCTGGCTGGCCCCAGAGTGGGGTGGGAATGGGGATTTTGCATTATCCTTCCCCTGGAGTGGGGTGGGAATGGGGATTTTGCAGTATCCTTCCCCAGCTATGCCCACCAAGCCACACCACACTCACCAAGTCACGCCCACAGAACTGGTAGTAAAAAAAAAAAAATTGGATTTCACCACTGCCCAATATGAAGAAAATATTCTATACACTGAATGTTTTAAAATTGTATTACTTTGTTTTTCAAATGGCCAAATATTCATTAGAAACTGGCTAGTACTTTGTGAATGAAATTCTGTTCTATATTTTATACCCAGTATGTTAGGTTCAATTTGAGTTAATACTGAAATTAGGCAATTCAATTGCTTTTAGACCCAAACTATAGCACAATGGCATATTTGCATAGAAGGGCAAACTTTTCAGTACATTGGACAGCAATCTTGTCCTGCATTTCTCAAAAACTTTGCGAATGGCATACAGCACATAAAAGCTATCGCAACTTTTTTGCCAAATACTGTTCTCTACATTTCTGTGGTATTGTCAAACCTTTGTTATCCCAAATGAACTGAACTCATCACAGAAAAGTAATTATATTCGCCACGACTGAGAACCTCAGAGCTTCCAACTGGAGTTTAAAATGGCCCCCGAGACAATACTTGAATTTATTTAACGCTTGGCTTCTGCAGATAGAGTTAGAATCTCTTGACATATTGGCCAATATTCTATGGGATAAGATGGCCTGGAAAAATAAAATTCAGACTTACTTTTCCCTCTTAAACTTGCTATGAACATACATCAGTATTTTCTCCATGCAATTGTGGGAAGAGGTGGCGGCCATATTTCACAGATCATCCACAGAGGTTATTTGTTCAGCCTTAATGTTGAAAAAAAGGGACACGATGGCTCAGTGGCTAAGACGCTGAGCTTGTCGATTGAAAAGTCGGCAGTTCAGCGGTTCGGATCCCTAGTGCTGTGTAACAGGGTGAGCTCCCGTTACTTGTCCCAGCTTCTGCCAACCTAGCAGTTTGAAAGCACATAAAAAATGCAAGTAGAAAAATAGGGACCCCCTTTGGTGGGAAGGTAACAGCGTTCCGTGCACCTTTGGCGTTGAATCATGCCGGCCACATGACCACGGAGATGTCTTTGGACAGCGCTGGCTCTTTGGCTATGAAACGGAGATGAACACCGCCCCCTAGAGTCGGGAACAACTAGCACATACAGTATGTGCAAGGGGAACCTTTACCTTTACCTAATGTCGAAAAATACCTGCTGCTTGTAGAGAATCTTATATTTTTGATGCATGGCAACTTGACTGAGGATCATGCATGCAGTCTTTTTAACAGTGATTTCTTGGAAGGAATATTTGTCAACCTCGTTCATTGGGATAACAGGCAATCTAGCTCCGTATCTCTATGGTCACAGGCCTCCAGTGACATCATGTGCCCTGTGATGTCATGAGCACATATTACAAATGATATACCATACATGATGGATACGTCATATTCTCCCAAACACCTTTGACTATGGTGTTTTTCATCTTGAAACATTGCCTTTAGGGCTTATTCTCAGATCTTCTCTGATCTCATTTCAACACATTTCAATATGTTCAAACAGAATTGAGAGCAGCTACCTGTCTGGGGTTCTTGACTCTGCTTGCTGTCATTCAAAACTCAATACAAGGAACGATAAAAGCCATTGCAGTCATTACATGTGGTGGTGCAAATATATATATGCAAAGAATTGCAACGTTCCCATCATTTAAAAAAGCAAATTTCCTCCAAATTTCCAAAAGTTTATTTTTTATAAATGGGGCAAGGGCTGGGGAGGAGAAGAGCAGGAGGAGAATGCAAACCAGACAACATGAAGAAAGCAACACATATATTTATATATAGCTTTTAAAAATGCATTTCTCTTGATAGTCGAGACTCGCCTTTTGTGTTCACCCCCAGCTGAGCAATAAAAACCTCTCGTTCACCGAGAGCTCACAATGCCTTGGTTTAAACAGAGAGACCTATGCAGAAGAAGAAGAAGAAATTGATCGCGCTGTTAGCATCACCTGAAATCAGTGTGGCTCAACCCCAGACTGGCTGGGGGAATTCTGGGAATCAAAGTCTATACATCTCAATGCCTTCCTGGTTGAAATCTGGCCTTAATCCAGGGGTGAAATGCTCCCAGTTCAGACCGGATCGCACAATCCGGTAGCGATGGAGGCGGGTGGTTCAGAGAACCGGTAGCAAAAATCCCTGCACCGCCCCCCCATGCCCAGCTGAGCCGTGCGATCATCAGAGGCTTTTTTTTCTTTTAAATGGCTCTGACGATCCAAGCTCTGACGATCCCAGCTGAATTGCCTGATCGGCATTCAGGCAACTCAGCTGGGATCGTCAGAGATATTTAAAAGAAAAAAAAAGTTTTTTTCTTTTCAATGCCTCTGACGATCCAAGCTCTGACAATCCAAGCTGAGTTGCCTGATCGGCAGAGGATTTTTTAAAAAGCCTCTGCCGATCAGGCAACTCAGCTGGGATCGTCAGAGCCTTTTGAAAGCATTTTTTTACAACTTCTTCACCGAAGAGGTTGTAGAAAAAATGGTTTTAAAAGTTAAAAAAAAAAATGCCCACGCCCACCCAGTCACATTACCCCCCCCCACCAAGCGACGCCCACAGAACCGGTAGTAACAAATTTTAGATTTCACCGCTGCCTTAATCTGTGACTCTTGTGAGTAAGAGTGGATGGCCAAAGACGCAAATTTACACGGGGACAGATAATGAATAGTCCAGTGATGGCGAATGCCGTCCAGATTCGGCATGAGCGCCCTCGACGGGGCTGTACTCCGGAAAAGCCAAACTTCCGGGTTTTAGCATGCATGTGTGCCCGGCGATCAGCTGGCCAGCACGCATGCTGGTTTTTGGCAGTGCCGCGTGTGCGAAGGGATCATGCTCCGGAAAAGCTGAACTTCCGGGTTCTGGCGCACATGCACACCCAACAATCAGCTGGCTGGCGTGCATGCACATATTGGTTTTCAGCACTGTCACGCGCATGAAGGACAGCTGATCCTCGCATGCGCATGCACGCCAGAAAGCCGGAAGACAAAACAGGCAAGGCCGTGCGTGCCGGGTGAAATGGCTTCATGTGCCACTTTGGGCACACGCGTGCCATAGGTTCGCCCTCACGGGAATAGTCTCTGATCTTTTGCCAACAACCAACAGACAGACTTGGGAGAGCAGAGGCCTGGTGGATGGATGATTGTCTCTGCAAGGTCCTTTAACTATCTGCTGAGAAAGGGGTGGAGACATGCATTGCTCGGCGTAGAGGAACCAGGAAAGTGAATGAGCAAAGACTGCATTGGGAATTCCCACCCACCCACCCCGCCTCTCCAGGGTTTCTGCCCCGAAGGACTGCATTTTGGCACAGAGGCAATTCAGGCAAAAGCAATTCAGCCGTCCACTTCTTTCACACACACACACACACGCACACAGAGAGACACAGATGCACGTGGACACTTACACACTCAATACAAAGGGACACATTTCTTTTTTTTTTTTAGATCCGATATATGACGATGACACACTGGCGTGTGGGAGGTGGAGGGCTATATAGCAGAGAGGGCAGCTCTAGAGGTTCAGAGTGCATAAAGCCAGGTTGAGATTTAACCGGCCGCTTGAAGGATTTTTTTCCCCATGCTCCAAAACGGAACCCTTTCCAAAATCAATCAACCAATCAATCAATCAATCAAGGACAGAAAGAAACAGGTTGGCTCTGTTGTAGCTGTTCTGCACAGAGAGCTGTAAAGAGGGTCCGTAGGTCCCGGGCAAAGGCACCCACTAGGAGACTTTGATTTTGCCCTTCTCTGGGGCCGCGTCTGCCAGCAACTGCTGCTCTTCCCCATTCACCGTCAGGGTCTTCTTCTCCGGAGGCTGGTCTTCAGGCTGGCGTGCAATCAGCAGACGGCAGGTGAGCAGGATCCCAAAGACCAAGGCGTGGGCGTAGCGCTTGAGTGGGTCACCCACCAGTTGGTGAAAGAAGAGGACGGCCAACACAAGCAGCAGCAGCAGAAAGTTAGCTACGTCTTTAGGGCGGCCCGGAACCAGAGTCATGACGATCCCGCAGGCCACCTCGAGGGCGCCGATGCTCTTGCGGAGAATGATGGAGCTGATGCCCAACCTCTTCAGCATGGGCAGCGCCCTCACGTAGGTCTTGTAGGCCCGCTTCTGTAAGCAAAAGAAGACGAGCTTCAGCATCCGTGACTGGTTTGGGACCTGAGTTATAGTTTATTATGTTGCCCTTGGGAAGCAGAGGGGGGTACAGTTTGGATCGGCTTTGGAGCCAGTCAAACAGGAAACACCAATCTTACAACATGAAAAGGAGGAGGAAACAGACAGTAATGAACAAAGTGATCTTCCATCGGTATTTTGTATGATAAGGTTGGAGAAGAGGACCATAGCTCAGTGGTAGAATGCCTAGTCTAGATGAAGAAGCTCTTAGATGCTAGCTTTCTCCAGATGGAGAACTTCCTATTGAACTCTTGCATTGGTGTAAAGTCAGTAAACAATCTGGATGGATGGACTTTTGCATTGGTATAAGTAGACAATCTTGGAATGGATGGATGGATGGATGAATGGATGGATGGATAGAATAATGGATGGATTGATGGATGGTTTGATGGATGGATGGACACTTGCATTGGTATAGTCAGTAGACAATCTTGGAATGGATGGATGGATAGAATAATGGATGGATGGATGGATGGACCCTTGCATTGGTATAGTCAGTAGACAATCTTGGAATTGATGGATGGATGGAAGGATGGATGGATTCTTGCATTGGTATGACAATCTTGTAATGGATGGATGGATGGATAGAAGGATGGATGGATGAATGAATGGATGGTTTGATGGACACTTGCATTGGTATAGTCAGTAGACAATCTTGGAATAGATGGATGGATGGATGGATGGATGGATGGATGGATAGAAAGATGGATGAATGGATAGTTTGATGGACGCTTGCATTGGTATAGCCAGTAAACAATCTTGGGATGGATGGATGGATGGATGGATAGAAGGATGGATGGATTGACGGACACTTGCATTGGTATAGTCAGTAGACAATCTTGGAATGGATGGATGAATGAAAGGATGGACGGATGGATGCTTGCATTGGTATAGTATAGTCAGTAGACAATCTTGGAATGGATGGATGGATGGATGGATGAGCTAACAATAATTTCTTCAGCTCCCAGGGATGGTTCATGAGCAATCTTTGTCAAATATATGACAAAGCCACTTTGACT